TAATAATAATAATAATAATAATAATAATAATAATAATAATAATAATAATAATAATAATAATAGTATGAGATCACGTATATGGAATGGAATCTTAATAACAGCACCAACTCTCATCACACGAGAGAATAAAAGCCAAACTACTACTATATTAGAGAAATCCACTAGTCCTCTTCAACACCCACAAGATAATATAAAACAGAGAGCTATTAAAGCCATGACGGTCTCTATGTCTGTAGAAGAGTTAAAGGCGGCAGAACGGGCACAAAATAAAGAGAAGACGACACCTTTAAAGAATAAAGAAAATAAAGATCGTAAAGAAGAGGAAAAACCACCTTTAGGCATAAGAACAAGATTAGACGCTCATCCATCATTCTCTAAGCAGGATAAAGAGAATAAAGAGAAGGATAAAGAGAATAAAGAGAAGGATAAAGAGAAGGGGCCTAACCAAACGTCAGCGTTATTATCATTATCATTATCATCATCCTTGCCTCTACCATCATCATTATCATCATCATCACGACCATCACTACTAGAGAAAACAACAACAGCAACAACAACAGCAAGAACAACATCAGCACCAGCACCAACAACTAGAAGTGAACCATCATCATCATCATTATTAGAGAAAACAACAACAACAACAGCAACATCAGCATCAGTACCCGCAACTAGAACTGCACCAACATCATTAAAACCCAAACGTCCACCACTATTACCACAGTTGCAACTACCCTCCAGTGATGATGTAAATTTATCTAATTCTGAACTATCTACTCATCAGCCGATAGCGAAGACGCCTGTTCATACTCCAATAAGTGTGACTCCTGGGCAGAAGTTAAGTATGCATGATATCATTAAGTCTCCCATATTACTTTCAAAGTTAGAGAAGCACCGTCAACGTTTGCGGAGTTTCGGTCTATGGTTAGGTGAAGATACATACTCTGAAAACCTCAACTCTACATCAAACCTTTCTTCTGCTTATAGTGCTACTACTAATAGTACTAGTGATATTGCTAATACTAGTGCTAAGACTATTGCTAGACCTACCTATTCACCAAAAGAGAGAGCTGCGCCTCTAAATGGCAGATCCACTAACACCATCAGTAATAATAATAATAATAATAATAATAATAATAATAATAATAATAATAATAATA